GTCCCTCAAGATGACAAGGCTCTCGATGCACACCTAGTGTGCTTATTGAATTTGCCACTTCTGCCTCATGAAATTAGTACATAATAAACGTTTGTTTAGCTTAATAAATGTGCTTTCTCAGTAGTAAGGTGTGTTGACTTTATAATGTTAAAGAATCTGAGTGTGAATAGGAGAGAATTAGTACATATATCAAACATTAACAAAAGAAAATAGCATATCTTTGGTAGGCCACGTGATTACTTATTTACAGATAGATATTTCATCTCTTAATTTTTCTCCTGTTTCTATTTACACTGAACTCTTATCAGCTATAGTGTTCATATGGAGAGGGACAAATGTGTCAAATATTTTGCTATTTTTATGAAACTCTAAAATATTTATTTATTAATATAAATATAAACTGTAATATGATATAGATCTAAACTTTTTCCATATTATTAATTAATTAATAGGAAAATATTTTAAAAATTATTTACATTATTTATATAGCCTATGTAATTCATATTACTTTTGAAATATAAGACATATTTATAAGATAAAATAATATTTTTTTATAACTTACTACTCAGTATAACTGTCACCAAAAAGCTGCAAACAAGAATCATCTTTACTTTCCTTTTCTCATCACAAGACTCCACTCAATCCAGCAAAAACAACACGTGACAAGACATCCAAACATTAATGTTCACGTGATGCATAAAAAAAATATCGATAAGCAACCTCTAGCGGTAAAAAATATATTTTGTTTTTGTCGTATTTCTAACAGGAATTTTCTCACTTATATTTATTTTATAAACATCTATGCCAATTTAACCGCTGTTACTTTAGTCGCCTTAGACTACATTTATAGTTTTACCATTTAAAAAAATATTTTTACGCTCCGTGGGCACTAAGAAGGCCTTTCTTATTATGCCCATTATGGATTCGGCCAGGCCCTTAATGGTGCAAGTAAATGGTGAGGCACGAGGCCCGACTTATCCGGATGGACCATCCTATTAAAATTCGGGATTTTTCAACTCGTCCGGCTCCAAGGACTATATACTACAAGGATAGCCAGATCCCTATTCTACAACGTTAGCCAGGAATGACAAGTTAGTGACGTCAGCACGAGGCCTGACCTCTCTGTTTACATAGAGCAGGATGTGCACGTGTTTAGTTTTCGCTTTTAATATTCGTCCAATTTTGTGATTAACGAAGTGATTTATTTTAATATTTCTGTAATTGTTTTATTTGACTAAGTTTTTTATAAGGTAAGATGATTTAAATATAAGTCATTAAATATTTAAAGCTATATTTTTATGTTAGGTGAAGAACAAAATGCTGAGTACTAGGTGTGCTGTGTATGGTTGCAATAATAACCTTCTTTTTTCAAATTGGAAGCAACCTGTTTACATCGGGTTTGATCAAAAAATGACAAGAGAAATACTTTTAAAATTAATAGCAGAACTTTATTTACTATCGTATAATGTAGTAGCT